CATCATCATCATCATCATCATCCAGTCTTACCCACTATATCTCTATGTGGACCAATGGATACTGAATTCCAATTCCAAGAATAGCTTGTATTCCAGTTAGCAAACCCTTCGTGATGTTTACTCGTGAAGACAAAATACCTGAAAAGACGACAAGAAAACAAACACGAGCTTAAGAACCAGAACGTCAGGCAACATGTTCCTTGAACATTATAATAACGATTAACAAGTCTTTAGCAAGAACAAACCATGGCAATGGCACGAGTGTACTGTGATGTCGGTAAGGATAGAGTTCTTATTACCATCCATTATATTGTTAATGGAACCACAATGGCCTCCATGCTGTCTTTTAACTCTCTTGGGGATTGCGATCAACCAATATCCAAAATCGGCCGAAGAGCTGAAACACCGTCTTGGAATCAGTCTAAATCCACATGTCTCATAGGAAAATCAACAGCCGAACCCTTTCTTCAAAGGAATAAAAAATGTGACCCTATACTACCCATTGTTTGCCAGTCTTCTTAGGTGTCAGAAGTTTGGATTTAATGAAAATACTGATGATCCTTGCCTACACTATTGGGATATGTAAATACATTTTAACCATCCTCTAGAGGGTCCTCAAGGGGGAAAATGCATGGGAGCCTTTTTGGGCTGGGAAAATGGAATTTTATGCATTGGGGATGGGATTAACAAACAAAAGAGAATCAAAAAATGGGAATGGGATTGAGATTAAGATTTGAGCAAAACATAGGCTGGAACTATGGAATATGGTMAAAATGGGGGCTGGGAAATGGGAGTAGGACCCTTCCCTTCAGGACCCTGTTGATACTAAAAACAATGCTTCTTTTGTTTACTAACTTTGCTCCTGAGCGAGCCACAAGATTCGCCCACTGATTAGCGTCAAACAACTGTGCTTTAAACTGTGTGCCAAAGTCCGCGTACTGAAACCCTGGTGGATAGTTTCTGGCCATGAATGTCGTCAGCTCAGGAAGGTTTTCATGCCAATGATACCAGAACCACTCTGAATAGAACGCTGGTACAGAGAAAACTCCCCAGTGGACGAATATACCAATCTTGGCTTCATCATACCAACTCGGTAGCACCCGAGAGTCCAGAGACTCCCAAGAGGGTAGAAATTTATTCTTGTAAGTATTTGATTCTTGTACTTGAAATTTCTTGTCCAGCTTTGTTTTTTCGGATTGAATTTGAAAGCTATTAGCCATAAAAATACACACTAGAAAAAGCAAATTAAAAAGTATAGCTTTCATTGTCTTGGTACTAAGAAATGTCACGCTTGGTGAGCCGCGTGACAGGTCACACTTCGTAACGCTTCATTGGACCATAATTGAGAAAAAATTATTTTCCCTGTATCTACCTAAAAATATTTGCAATCAATTCTAGATCCATAACATTCTTTTATTCCATTCTGTTCATTTGATATTCTTTTGCTTATTTTTCTTTCAATAATACTCTCAGTTAGTATATTTCTTTTTTCTTAGCTTCCCTTTTATTCTCAGTCGCAATATTTTATAATTCAATACATATTATATTATTAATTTATTTATTTTATGTAGTTTATTAATTATTTGCGAAAATTTACTAAAAGTTACAAAAATTGCTTTTAATGAATGGACGTCCTGTGGTTCGAAGCCCCAGCCTCTACTCGGTTTTCAAAATGGCTGCGGGTTGGATCATCAAGACTATCGTTCTTGTTAAAACGTTATAGAGATTTTTTACAATGAACAGAGATGAATTCCAAAGACACGAGCTGCGATCCTGTTGCTATTATTTTGGTTACTGCTGGAAGTAGAGGGCAAAGAGTGTTGTTTCGATATCCAGATCACTACAGAAGACAAGAAGTGGCAAATGACAAGAAAGGTAAGCTTAAAATATATGTTTATCTTGCGACACCCCTACCTACCTAAGCTTACTTTATATAATCTGGACTAGATTTATTTTTTTGTGTGGATTAGAGAGAATAATTAATTGTTGGTTTTATTATTTGATTTTCAGAGATTTATAAGAATTTTTATATAGCTCCTGCAAAGGTGGAAGACAATTACAGGTTTGTACAGAAGATATATACTCATATACATATATATGATGTATTATATATTTGCATCCATTAATCGATATACCATCCATCTCTCCATCCTCCTATCCATCCATTCATCCTCCCATCCATTCTATTTATCCATCCATCTTCCCATCCAACCATTCTATCCATTCTATCCATTCCATTTGTCTATCCATTTATCCATCCATCCATGGATCCATCCATCCATCCTCCCATCCAATCCATTCATCCATCAATCCATCCATCCATTCATTCATCCCTCCCTCCCTCCATCAATCCACTCATCCATCCTAAGCCTAACCTATCCAATCCCTTCTTTCTATTTAGTTCTGTTCTATCCTGCCATCTATCGATATCCCTCCCTTCCATCTTGTCATCTATCTATTCATTCAATTCCTGTGTTTGCAGTTTTTCCGACAGTACATTAGCCAACATCCTAACACCCAATATAGAGTTGGGCGGCAAGAAGTTTGAGCTCAAGATAGACAATGTTTTGTTTGTTGGACATCCTATTCAACTTCAACAAAAAAAACAGGAATCAAAGGTAAATAGAACATACCTAGTTTACTTGTACCAAAAAAAGCCCGAATTGTGTGCTTTGAGTACCTGCTTTTTCTAATGCTAGAAGTTTTTTTTCTTCATGTGAGATAGAATAATGATGCGATTTGAATTTATTTATATACAGTAATTATAACTTCTTTTTTTTGTTTTCCAGAGAGTTGATAGCTCAAAAAGGAATGAAAATGTAATGCTGAAACTTTTCAACATCGTATTTGTTTTAAAGGTATTAAAACTTGTACACTTTTGGAAAAATGCCTTTCAATCAATTTTTTAAAAACCTTCAATTTTATTCATTATAGTACACTCAACAAAATTACTCGACTCTGATTGGTCAAGAGGAGTACAATTATAGCGTTAATTGTACTCCGTAAGAGTACCGAATTAAGTCGCTATGGCAATACGGCCAAAACAATGTCAAAACAATTATTTTCTATCATTTTGTACTTAAAAAACATATAAATAAAATTTTAAAGCCGTAAGAACTGATCTTTTTTATGCATTTCAGTTGCACGATGGACTGAAAATCGGCCACCAAATAGACAAAGATGAACAACGTCGCTTCGCATTTTTTACTGAAATTTTGTTGAGTGAACTATAAACAAAAAATCGCACGATCTTCTCGTACAATTTGGAATTAATATAAACTCGTAATGTTTTGAAAGTTCTTTAATTGTACTCGCCTAAAGGCTCATGTAATTACAAGAACTTTCAAAACATTACTTGTGTCTATCAATTTCCAAATCGTACTTGAGACCGTGTGATTTCCTATACAAATTATAAGCAAACTTAAAATTTAACTTAAGTCAAGGCTCAGCTAACAATAGATTGAACCCTGAAACATCCTTGGTTATGGGCTGATCTGAAAACAAACTCTAAAATCAAACTCTAAAAAAACCTCTGGGCTAGCTGTTTGGGACACAGATAACCCAAAGATCAAATGAGCAGCAATTCAAAGAAAGCAGATGCAAATGCATTCTGCATCTTTTCTGCTATTGATATTGTATATTTTGTTTATAGGCTGGAGTAGAAAACTCTGTGATCAACTGTTATCATGATCTTTCTAAAAGACTTGCCATAGCTCTAAAACATGAAGAACACAGGTATGTGCATCAGTAGTGGTCTATCAATGCTGCATTCTGATTGGATGAGCTTCTACTAGGCTATGATTTATAGCTTACTAATAGTGAAAAGTGCTGGTTTTGAAAACCCAAATATCAAATTTGTACTTTAATTGTTTGCTTCTATGTATTTGACCCACTATAGTTGGATTTGACTAAAACAATAATAGTCCTTTCCCCCTCATGGCCTATGAGTCAATAGCCCATTTGGGCTTGAGAACCAATTGCTATGTTAATCATGGTTTGTTTAATTTTGAAACCAGGTGTTTTTATCTGACATCACAAAGAGAAAAAATGCTAACAGTACATGATGAAATGTCGACGATGCCAGAGGCTGGTGAGTATATGATTATTTATACATAATACATTGATCTAGCTCCTGCTGTTGTTTTAGTAAATCAAAATGGCCTGGTTCTGCAGTAGTTTGTCCAGTGGCAGCAAGTGGACTTTGTTTGGCTGACTTGGAGGTTTACCCTCGCTCCCTCCATCCCTCATTCCACCCATCCCTCCCTCCCTTCCTAGTCTCATCAATGCCAGTCAGGGCATTGATGCCCAGACTTGGTGTCATATGTTTACAAGAAGAGCTGCTGGCTGGTGCTCTCTTGTACTTTAAGGTTTTTTTTTCGGGTTTTCCRGTTTCTCCTCCCTTAGTAAAAATCAACTTCTAAATTCCAATTGGAGTTTAGTGGAAAAAGAGCCACTCTGTGGAACGGCTGTTACAGTGCGACTACTCCAACTAAGGCCACCTCAACAAATTTTCTACAAATTATCCAATAGTGATTGACTTAGAAGCAAATTAGAAACTGTATAAAACACATTCTACATGAAATCAGTTTTTAGGTATTCTATTGTTTACATTTACCACTTTCGATTGGCTAATTTGTAGAAATTTTGTTCAGGTGGCCATGGTTAAATTAGTTTTACTGTAAATCTATTATTATTATTATTATTATTATTATTATTATTATTATTATTATCATAGTCTCCTAGGCAACTACTGTTACATAGTATTCTGATGAAAGCAGCTTTGTAGGAGACTACTCCTCTCTCCACTCAAACCACTCTTATAACTGGTTTCATTTTTACAGACTTAACTGAATCCCCATTCCATCACATGTTGCCAAGAAGCTCTCTAGCAAGAGCTTTAAGGGATACTTTTGAAAGGTAAGCACTCCAATCCAGTCTTAAACATCTATTTAATTCCTCAACTCTTCAAAAATTGCCAAAGTTCCAATATTTCCTGGAAACTACATGATATACCCTCCTCATACTCTCCCAACCCCTCAAAAATGCAAATCCCCCTCCATGGGAAGAGCGGAGGTATGGGTATATTCTCGCACTACACAATATACCCTCCTCAGACCCTTCCCACCCCTTGAAAATTGCAATCCCCCCCCTTGAAAATTGCAATCCCCCTACATGGGAGAGGTAAGAATATTTTCTGGGACTACACAATATACCCTCCTCAGACCCTCCCCCTCTAGGGAATGATTTCAGAGCATTTTTTAACTAAATGAAAGTTTCAGTATAATTGTACAATATCTAATAAAAAATGAAATGCTTTGTACTACAGCTTGTGTGAGAGTGGAGTTGTACAGCTCAAAGTGAATGGATGGGTCAATGTCAGTTTCTGTTTACCTCATAAAGTACACAACTTGAACCAGGGAATGCTGACAATCAATGTAAGAGAATTAATACCAAGTACATCTTTTATATATATCAGCTAGGTCCAACATAGATGTCCATAATACAGTGTTTTAATCTTTCTAAGATGTTTTGATTTCCTTTAGAAAATATTTAGTTTTATTTCTCAAAAATTAAAGTAAGCTTTAACTTGATTAACTTTTGGCTTCCATCATTCAGACTGTGGCTTGATTTACAGCAGTACTGTTTATAATTGATGAATGGCCAAAACGAAGATGACCTTAGTTGCATGCATAATTTTACAAATTTGTTGAATTATTTTCAGCCCAAGGCAATAGAAGCATCATTAGCAGCAATGAGGTGAGCAAAAAGTTTTAATTCAAATGAGAAATCAAAATTGATAAAAATAATTATTATGATGCTTTAATATTGTTTTTAATATTTTTAACTAGAATGTTTTGATGTTGCTGTTTCTCTTTCTCTCTTAGGCCCTATCATACATTATTGTTCTTAGTGGATGAGGAAACCCTCCTAGCCTCACTCCCAGGCGACTGTTCTCCAGCCCTTATGAGGCTCATCCGAAGAGCATCTCCTTTAAAAAGGCAAGACAGAGTACTAAGATTTAGTTTAAAGATTAATTTGTTTTCTATGTGAACTTGGGTGTCAAAGGTCCTCAGATTGCTTTTTGAAGAGTATTGATGCAAGAATTCGAAAACAGATAACTTCAATACAGAGTAGTAAGAGACCTTTTGGCATTGTTTCTATATCCAAGGGAATCAAGGGTATTAGTACATACGCTTTTACATCTGGGATGTCAGGTATGATTCCTGGAATCAGTTTCTTTAAGTAAATATGCCAATAATTGGCAAAAATTTTGTTTGTCCAGTGATGAATGGATTTTTTGTTACTTTATTTCAGTTTCACAACACTTTCACAAGATACAGATATTCCCTTGTCTCAGGTATGTGTAGATTTTATATGATTGTCGTGAGAAACATAGCTTTCTATTGAGTGATAGTAATGTTTCATTGTTGCGACATGGCCAATAACATTTTCATCACACCATTATCATCAAAATCATCACAGTCGCCATGACCACCATCATTAGCACCACCATCATTACAGTCATTCATCATCATCATCACCACCATCATCATCACAGTCATTCATCATCATCATCATCACCACCATCATCATCACTGTCATTCACCATCATCATCATCACCACCACCATCACTGTCATTCATCATCATCACCACCATCATCTGTCATTCATCATCATCATCATTACCACCACCATCACTGTCATTCATCATCATCAACACCCCTAACTTCATTATCATCATTACCACCACCATCA